TAACCTAGCCTTTCAACGACACGAGAATGGAGAGAAGCAGATGAAGCGCAAGGATGAAATGAAGCGCAACGGTTACTCGAGCAGGACTACGTGGTGTTGATCGCAATTATGGAAACAGAGTGTTAAGGGAAGAGGCTGGAACTTTATTCTATTTCCATGTTTAGACAAAGTTGCATTGCCCAAAAAACCCTCACGTGGATTCGGTGTAGGGCGTACAGGCGCACAGAATATTGGCTTAGATGGAGGGCTGTGATTAGTTTGCATTTTGTAAATTAAGTTGGGTTTGTATATGATCCCAATTAAATATATATATATATATATATATATATATATATATATATATATATATATATATATAGGGAGCGGATCAGGTGAGAAGTGCCTTTAGGCTGAGAACTGCGAAGTTTAGCTTATAGACTAAAAACACGAATTTTTAACTAATAAATCATAACTTATAGACCCCCTCGAAAATAATTCCGAAAATGCCCCCGCAAAAAATAACTCTAGAAACCTTCAATTTTTTTTGACGTGGTGGCATTTCCGTAATTATGATGGAGAGCTTTATAAGTTACTACATATGATTTATTGGTTATAAGTTCCTATATTCAGTCTATTAAGTTTACTGCGTTGTAAGATTAGATACAAATCCAAGGACTGAGATTACTTTTCATTTTAAGGGGGACTTATCACGTGATCTTATATATATATATATATATATATATATGTATATATATATATATATATAAATATTACACACACGCAAATGACCAGGTCTGAACGTTCGGACCAGGGCCTCCATCCGAACACCGCCGTTCGGGGCGGTTCGCGGTGGAAGTTTTTGATAAATTTTTTATGGTATGTTCTTCATCAAGTCTAGTTTATCCACAAAAAAGTTCAGCTCAAAATTCGATCAGGAATGCCTTCAAATGATTTTTGAAGTTGACTGCGTTTTTTTTATGTATAATTTAGCACAGTCAAATTCAAAAAATCATTTGAAGGCCTTCCCGATTGAATTTTGAGCTGATAGATTTTGTGGAGATACTAGACTTGATGAAGAACATACCATAAAAATGTCATCAGAAATTTCCACCGGGAACCGCCCCGAATGACGGTGTTCCGTCGGTGCCTCCTGTCCGAACGTTCGGACATGATAAGTTATCTCTCTCTCTCTCTCTCTATATATATATATATATATATATATAAGGGAAAAATAATTAAAATACCCAAAACTTTGAAGAAATGTGAGATGGACATCCCAAACATGCATATGTAATTTAAATACCTCAAACTTTATATAAAAAGTTATTTTAGCACCATAATCAAATATTATTTTTTTCAAAAATGTAAATCTATGTTGTTATTTGCATAACTTAAAATTGTTTAGAATTTATGAAGACACAATCAACATTCTAAACTTCCATTGTGAAGTAAGTAATGTTCCCACAATCTATATAATTGCTAAGACTTTTAATTTGTTATTTTAAATTATGTAATTAACCTCATAAATTTGCATTTTTTTATAGAAATAATAAATAATGTCTTCCAAAAAAACAAATGATACATAATGATTTGAAAATAACTTTTATATAAAGTTTGTGGTATTAACAAGTTTGAGATTGTTTACCTCACAGAAGAAGAATGAACACTTTTATTATTTTTTACTGTATTAACTTTTATTATTTTTTACTGTATATAAACATAAGAAGAATGAACAATTTACTGTAACTCAAACTTTATTAAAGAATTCAAAAAGTAAATGCCCCAATTAATTACCGTGAAAATTACTTTAATAATACGTGAAGATAGTACACACTATCTTCTAAGAACTAAGAATAATACGTACTTTGAAAATAACTTTTAATAATACCAACTATGTAAATATAGACCAAAAGTAATATAAAGCATTTTTTCACTAAAAATTCAGTCGTTTAATTCACCAAAAAATAATACTAAAATATCAAATAAGTGATTGTCTTTCCACATATTATTTATTGGAAAAATTTAAAATAATAAACCCAACTATTGTCGGTCCGCTAACAATAATCTCAACTATTGATTATTTTTGTATAATCCCAACTATATAGACCGTCCGCCAATAATGGTCCATCACCGCATATTACCTGCTCTAACAAGTGAATTTTTAATATAAATTAAGCATAAAAATTAAAATTTGGGATTATTTATAGGGATTACCTACTAATCTCTTTAGAAACTATAGGAATTTATTTATAGTCGGTGTTGGGAATATTTTATGGTGTTCAATCTAGTTAGTTATCTTTGTATTTGTGTAGTTATCAATTAAACGTGTAATACGGGCCACAAATGTGTATCAGTCCGGGGCTTCCTTGTAACCCGTAAGTTAGCCAACTTCTCATACAACTTCCTTGTAACCCTAAGTATTGAAAGAAGGCTCAGAGACCTAAAGAGGCGAGATAGAGAGTAGGGTTTCCGCTGCTCTCCTTCTCCAGGGAGAGCAGCGGGGTTTTATACGGTATACCAGATTCGGTTCATCTTCTCGATTTCTTTCTATCTGTTTCTTTATCAATGCTTAGATTGTTTGATTGTTATGATCTGGGTTTATCAATTGGTATCAGAGCCGAGGCGTGAAACATGTTGAATCTATCTGCGATTTTTTGGATCTAACGAAGAACTGCTCTGTTTTCTTCTGTTTTTTCTTTGGTGTAGAGATTTGCTCCTGTAATCTTGTTTGTGAACGAAATTTTGCAAAAATCATACTGTTGGACTTGCCTTTCAAAATCGATCCAGCAGCACACCTTTTTTTTCGTTTTCTGCAATTTTTATATTTCGAAGATCTCTACATTGAGATCTCGAAATTCTTATTTTTCACTGCTGCAGAAACGTTTTTGGCTTGAAACTGATACATGAGAATCTCGACCTTCAGGGCTTTTCAGAACAGGTTTCAGATTTTCAAAAATCGATGTTTTCATTTTGCAGGATCTCGACATTTAGGGACTCGATTTCCTCTTCTCGACTTTTGAAATCTCGAGATTTGACATCTCGACTTTTGTCATCTCGAGTTTTGTCATCTCGAGATTTGTCATCTCAAGTTTTGACATCTCGAGTTTTGTCATCTCGAGTTTTGACATCTCGAGTTTTGACATCTCGAGTTTGACATCTCGAGTTTTGGAATTTCGAGTTTTGGAATTTCGAGTTTTTGGATTTCGACATTTGGGATCTCGATGTTTTGGATCTCGACATCCTGAAGATTTCGAGATTTTCAAAATTTCTCGATGTTTTGAATTTTTCAAAGTTTGGAGTTTCTTGAATCACTGATTTCTTCTAAAAGGAGGCTAACTTACGGGAACCCTAAGTATTGAAAGAAGGCTCAGAGACGTAAAGAGGCGAGATAGAGAGTAGGGTTTCCGCTGCTCTCCTTCTCCAGGGAGAGCAGCGGGGTTTTATACGGTATACCAGATTCGGTTCATCTTCTCGATTTCTTTCTATCTGCTTCTTTATCACTGCTTAGATTGTTTGATTGTTATGATCTGGGTTTATCAGCCGGTCACGTCGGACCATTATTCGCGGAAAGTCCCTAAAGTTGGGATTATTCTGAAATAATCGATAGTTGAAATTATTATGAGCGGACCGCCAATAGTGGAGATTATTAAAATCAATTTTCCTTATTTATTGGGAAAATGGAAACTAATAATCCAACCTTTTAACGGTTTTCTTACAATAGTTCCACCTTTTCATTATTCATGAATAATTCAACGTTTGTACCCCGTCTTCATTAACTGGTCGACCGATTTATGACATGTTATTCCAAATTATTTTCTTATATTTGTAAAACATTATACCATAATTCCCACCTTATGATCACATAATGTCTTGCGAAGATAATAAAATAATTTGGAATAACAGGTCATAAATCGGTCAGGGACCAGTGAATGAAGATGGGGTTCAAAGGTTAGATTATTCATGAATAATGAAAAGGTGAGACTATTGTAAGAAAACCACTAAAAGGTTGAATTATTAGTTTCCATTTTCCCTTATTTATTTGATGGGTTGCTATTAGTTTTTTATGTCTTATTGAAATTCTTCTTGAAAGTGACTCCATATGTATTATTATCCGTCGATAATATTATTATGCAGTGCAATAATATTACTCCCTCCGTTTCATAAAATTCTTCCTAGTTTCCTTTTTGGGTCGTCCCAAAAAATTCTCCCCACTTACCATTTTTGGACAATTTATGTGGTTTACATTTATTTCACCGTTTTCTTACACAACCACAACCATACATTTTCATTTTATTCCACTTTCTTAATCTTCGTGCCAAGTCAAAGTGGGAGAATTTTATGGGACATAGGTAGTATTTAAAGTTACTTTCCCTTTATTTCCTTATTTATCTCATGAAATATCTTCTTGCACTCCTATTACGCACATCTAGGTACCGAACAAACTATTCTTCCCTTTTACAAAAAAAAAGGATGACACCCCATCCCTGAGGGCCCCCAACCCCGACCGGACAGTACGTTGGGGATGTAAGTTGGACTATAATCCCAATTTGAAAGATAGAGAGTGAGGCTCTGTCCCCGGTACTTGCAGAGGTCCTATGCATTTTTAGCATAGTAACCTCTCATCGCAGTTGTAGGGATTCGAACCCGGGACCTAACCCTCGTGCACTCCTTTTCTACCGGTTGAGCTACGCCCACCCGTCTTCCCTTTTACAAAAAGTTCTATTAGAGCATCTCTAATAGAAATGTGGATTGGAGATGTTAAAATGTGGACACATCACTACTTAAACAGACCGTTAACGATGATGTGGGACAAAGTTGGGCAAATAGACAATCAAACTAAAACTCATTCTCCAATGCAATCGTGGATTTTCTGACGGTGCTCCTTTTTTAATTACTTTTATTGCTGCAAAATAAAAAAAGAATTGAAATAAAATTGAATTAAGATAACTTCCGTAATAATTTGCTGAGTCACAGCCTCTAAGAGGCTTTCTGAAATCGGAAACCCAAACTCACGGTGTGCATATTTTAAGATGCCAACTCAACTTCAATTGTAATACGGACATCTGCATTGGAGATGATTTTTTACTTTCACCTCAATTTCATTCACGTGGCAATGCATTATTTAGATTTTAGAGTCGAAAGCACGGTTAAAGATGCTCTTAGAACTCCATTTATCTACGGATCATTGCTTGCGAATTCCTTTTTAATAATCTTCTACAGATTATCTAAGATATTTTAGCTATGGAGAAGTCTGGATATGGTCGTGACGGAATCTACCGATCCCTCCGGCCGCCGCTTATCTTCCCCAGGGACCCCAACCTGTCTATGGTCTCTTTCCTGTTCCGGAACATCTCTAAGTACCCTGACAAACCGGCCATCCACGACGCCGATTCCGGTCAGACGTTGACTTTCCAGCAGATGAAATCCGAGGTCTCCAAAATTGCTCATGGCATGACGCACCAACTGGGTATCAAGAAAGACGACGTCGTCCTTATCTTGTCCCCCAACTCTATCCAGTTCCCTCTTTGCTTCTTCGGCATCATAGCAGCCGGCGCCGTTGCTTCGACGGTGAATCCTGCGTATACAGTTCCAGAGCTTTCCAAACAAATCAAAGATTGTACCCCGAAGCTCATCGTTACCGTTCCCCAATTGCTCGACAAAGTCAAAGGGTTCAATTTGCCCGTTTTGCTTCTGGGTCTTGAAAACAGTAACCATTCAGGCATCAATTCCTACCCGAGCCTTACATTTTACACCGACCTGGTTAAAAATGCTGGTTCATTGGATTTCGATCTTGTTCGTATAAAGCATAGCGACACAGCTGCGCTGCTGTACTCTTCTGGGACGACGGGGGTCAGTAAAGGCGTTGTCCTTACGCATAGGAACTTCATCGTATTGTCTCAGATGATAACGGCCGATCAAGACGCGGCCGGAGAAATGCACAATGTGTTCTTGTGCGTACTGCCGATGTTTCATGTGTTCGGGCTTGCAATTATCTTGTACTCACAGTTGGTGAGGGGGAATGCTGTGGTCTCCATGGAAAGATTTGACCTGGAGATGATATTGAGAAGTGTGGAGAAGTACAGAGTGACGAATTTGTGGGTCGTGCCTCCCATCATACTGGCCTTTGCAAAGAGCAGTGCGGTCAAAAAGTATACCTTGACATCATTGAAGCAGATTGGGTCAGGGGCAGCACCCCTTGGGAAAGATTTGATGGAGGAATGTTCCAGGAATTTCCCCCAGGCTGCTTTAATTCAGGTTTTTCTTACATTACCCTTTTACTTGAGGGAAATTTGTAATTAATTTCAAGAATTCAATATGTTATTTCACTTTTGAATGTTTGGAGGTAAGATTCCCACATTTAAAAACTTAGGAGACGTATATGCATTGTAAGACTTTGAGTTAGAGCACTTAGAACCAATATTTTGGTTTTGTTTGACCTGTGCAAGTGATCCATCAAATAGATCCACAATGTTCATGTTATGCAGTTGAGAGAGAATTATCAGAATGATCAGTTTAGATATAGACTGGATTCATTTTTTAGTCTAGTTGGATGTACATTATGATACACTTCACAAGATATTAAGTATTCATATCTTACATGTTCAAATTGCAATCAATCGGTTATGTTCAAAGTAAACAGGTTGTCACCTGATGCATAAGCTTCAAATAGTTTTATTCAATGGTAATGCTTCGGTTAGACTAGACTCACTAATAGAATGGATTTAACTTTTTTAACGTGGTTTGACCCATGTGCATAATGTTTTGACCCACTTGAAAAATTCCTGTTCAATATGAATTGGATCATTTTGTAGCCATCAGATCATCTTAGTTAGGGATTGAATAATGATATGCTATAAGGAATCTGTTTCTATATGCAGGGGTATGGGATGACAGAATCTTGTGGACTTATCTCATACGAGAATTCAAGTATTGGTAAAAGAAACTCAGGGTCAGCCGGAATACTTTCTCCCGGAGTGGAGGCTGTAATAGTTAGTGTTAGCAATTCCCAGCGTCTCCCTCCTGGTCAGTTGGGAGAAATTTGGGCATGGGGTCCTAACATGATGAAAGGTGTTTTACTCTATTTATTACTCTGTATATTAGTCTATATTCTGTCCCTCTTCTGCCGTTATAATAGGACATATATAATGAATAATCATCATATTGATAGGCAAATATGATTTCACTAACCTTATCACTCTGTTTATTTTCAGGTTATTACAAGAATCCAGAGGCTACCAAGCTTACAATAGATAAACAGGGCTGGCTCCATACAGGAGATCTTGGATACTTTGATGAAGAAGGACAGCTATATGTTGTTGACCGTATCAAGGAGCTCATTAAGTATAAAGGTTTTCAGGTATGTTTTATTTCGTTTTTGTGAAATTTATAAGTTAAACTATTAGTTGCAAAATATAATTGCTCGATTTTCGTCTGCATCCTTGTTTTTTCCATTTATTTTCAAACCATTTATGTGATTTTATGTGCTGCTACTGGCGCTTGAGTTGTCGCTTTCTTTGCGTAAGGACAATGACTTATTTGTCAAGGACATTTAAATTTTGCTCAATTTCTTTAGGGTATGTTTTGGAACCAAAAAATGAAAAAGAATACATAGTATTGTCTTACGCTTTATTTTAACTCGGAAAAGGCAGAGAGGAAAATGAAAATCGATTAGTGTTTTTTATTTTTTTCATATGTTTTAGATTTCATAATATTTATGTAGTAGAAATAAGTTTAAACAAATACTAAACAAAATTTATTGAATTTTGAACCGATGTTTTATTTTCCACAACAGTTTCTTTCCTTTCTAATTTCATCTTGGATTCCTCCACATTTTCTTTCCCTAGCATTTATCATTCAAAATGGATCCATAGAGTATGTTTGGATTCTGTAAAGTATTAGGGAAAGGAAAAAAAGTGCTATGTAAAGTTGTTTCTTATAATTATTTTAACCTTAGGAAATGCAAAAGAAAAAGAAAATGTAGAGTGATTAATTATCCTAATATCTTTACATATGTTTAAATTCCACTAGATATATACACAACAACAATCAGCGGGGTTCTGGCTCTAGGTCAGGGAGGGCCCAGGCCCACACTCAAAACAAATAAAATTACTAGTATATATAGGTATTATATTATATATATTGTTGTGAAATAATGGTATAATTACAAAAAACTCAATGGTAGAGAGTGTAAAAACTTGGTCTCCTAAGTTCAATGACTATAAGCTTAACACCAATCTCAAACGGTGAAAGAGCTAGATACTAATATTGTGAACGCTTTTGGGGTTTTGAATACTAGCCTGAAAAATTAACTCATTCAATTCATTGGGCTTGGTAAATGAAAATTAGTTCAATATACGTATGGGCTTGGTATTTATTTTTGTCTTTGACATTTAAGTTGCAACAGCTTTTATTTTATATTTGAAAATAAATTTGTTAAATAACATACTATTTTACTACATTTTGACATTTTTTTGCATTATACGTTATTTCATTAAATTTTGGCCCCACCTGATTGGCAATGCTAGATCCGCCTCAACAATATTGCCCCAGTCTCGCAGAGGCTCCCACCTACCGTGGGGTAAGGGGGTCAGATGTACGTAGTTTACCCCGTACTAAAATGAGTTTAAACAAATAATAACTGCAAATTTGTTGAATTTTGATTCAATATTTAATTTCCAACATCATTTTAACTTCCTACTTTTTTGTCTTAATTTCCTCCATTTTCTTTCCTCGGCATTTTCCTATTTCCTAACCAACCCTTAGAGTGTCTTGATTCTGAAAAATGTTATGGAAAGTTAAAAAGGTGCTAAAAAGTTGTTTTCTTATGATTAGTGATGGAGTATATGGGTCTAGGCCCCAGGACCCACATACTCAGAAGAACAGAAGGTACCACGATCACCTGGTGGGACGCCCTTCGGCCGGACGGCCTCCATCGGCCAGAAAGAAGTCCACTCAGAATATGATCCAGAAGCCCGGAGAACCGGGTGACCTCGTCGGCCATGCTCTCATCGGCCATGCCCTCATCGGCCACGAAAAGGTCTACTCAGAATATGATCCAGAAGCCCGGAGAACCGGGTGACCTCATCGGCCATGCCCTCATCGGTCATGCCCTCATCGGCCAAGAAGAAGGCCACCCGGAATATGATCCAGAAGTCAGGAGAACCGGGTGACCTCGTCGGCCATGCCCTCATCGGCCATGCCCTCATCGGCCATGCCCTCATCGGCCATGCCCTCATCGGCCATGCCCTCATCGGCCATGCCCTCGTCGGCCACGAAAGTCTCACAGAACCGGATTTTACACTTATTCATTTATATAGCCCACCAGTGGCTCTGTATTCGGCCCAATAGCGGTCCAGTTGTAAATGGGCCTCCCAAGCCCAAGGCTTGGGAGCCCAGCCCGTATTTTTCCTATAAATACTTCCTCTGGAGGTAGTTATAGGGGTTACAAAATTCATTCTATTGAAGCATATCTTGCACTTCTCTCTCTAGCTCTCACTTCTCTCTAGACATATACTCTATCATTTGGTGCTCTCGTTTAGAGCTAGAACAATCAAGTTAGCACCCTTCGTCGCTACCAAGCGCAACTAACCACTGATCATGGGAAGAACTAGGTCAAACCGCAACCTCGTCAGCAAGGCCGTCCCTGAGGATCAGGAGAACAGGGAACACGAGGAGGACGCCACGGCCGACAAGGCCGCCGATGGGGATTTCTTCTAAGAAGCCATCGACCTCGCAGGTGACCTGCGCAACAAGCTCAACGGCGGCGCCCCTGACGCCCGCATCGGCTTGGATAAGAAGCGTGCAGAGAAAGGTGACAATGCCTCGGCGCAACCGGCCTCTCCTGCCGTTGACCCTCAGCTTCATGCCGCGCTCTCGGCCATCATCGCCAGCCTGGCCCAGAACCCCACCGTCCTCAGCGCATTCATGCCAAGGACTGGGGAGAACACTACACCACCTCCTCAGCCCCAGCCGTTGGCCATCAAGCTGGGCAACGACGAAGGGGTGGTGCCCCAGGACACGTCGTCATCCCACTCCCACCCTGCTTCCCCACTTCGAGCTGGTCCGGCCCCAGCGCGTGGAAAAGCCTCAGCCTTTAATAGGCTAGGTGACACGCGTCGTCGACCTTCTTCGGAGAGGATGGCGGGACGGATTGGTGAACGTGAGCCTGGCTCACCAAGGGAAAGCTTGGGGTCCATATCCCGGACAGCGGATCGGCCCCGCCTGGACAAAGGCAAAGGAAAATTGCACGAGGACAATGCGCGTCATCGAATCAACACGACTCAAAAGGCTCGCGTGCGCAACCAGCAAGGCGCCACTACGGCCGCCAAGGACCCTCGTGACGAGGTCATCGCCCAGCTGGAAAGGAGACTGGCCCAGATGGAGGCTAGACAATCGGCCACCATCCCTACGGCCAACTCATCCGAGGGTCCAGGTTACCACGCGCTCATGCTTAAGGTCAGCGCCCTGGAGAGGGAGCTGGCCGACAGACGTGGTGACCCCATCATCCAAATCAGAACAAAAACTCCCTTCACCACGAGGGTGCTCTCGGCCCCAATACTCGAGAAGTACCGAGGGAACGCCATCAAGCCCTATGACGGCCGCTCTGACCCTCAGGAGCACTTCAGCCGCTATCAAAACAACATGCTGATGGTGAACGCATCAGATGAATACCTCTGCCGTTGGTTCCTTTCCACACTTTGAATGGCCAGCGTACGAGTGGTTCAACTCGCTCCCCGAAGGAAGCATAGACTCGTGGCAGGATCTTGCCCAACGCTTCCTCACCCACTTCGCCGGAAGGAAGCGCGTGAGAAAACATTTCTCCCACCTTCTCTCCATCAAGCAACAACACGATGAATCACTTCGGTCTTTCATCGATCGATGGACGAAGGAGACAGACGAGGTCGAAGGTGCCGATGAGCGCACCCTCCTCGTCCTCTTCCAAGGCGTTCTCCGCAGCAGCCCCTATGCGAGTTGTTCAGAAGGTTATCCCCCTCGGCCTCGAGCCACTGACCCTAATAAAAGCCGTTGCCATAAACAACGCACCTATTGTGTTCTGCTTATTTCTTGTAAAGTTTAAGTAAAGGATGCCACACAACAAAGCACGTCGCTTCGGCCCCTTCGAGCGAAACGCTCAGGTATGGCCGACGACGCCACACAAAACATCACATCGTCCCGGCCCCTTCGAGCGAAACGCTCAGGCATGGCCGACGATGTCCCAGGACGACGGGCCCGCAAACGGCCCACGTCTTGAAATGGGAAGCTCACCGCGTCGTCTTCGCGCTAAATCGCATTACGACAGGCCTGAAAGAATGGCCGAGGTGACAAAATCCCCACACTTGGGGTTGGGAAACGGCAGCCGTCGGTAACCGACCAAAAGCCTAGCCCGCGCCATAAATAGACGACAGGACCCCCCGCGCCAGCGCCAGAGGCCGGACAGTTGCCCTCCTGGACTCCCTATCGGCCGAGGGAATAGCAACCCCCTCGGTCGAGCCTGAAAGAAGGACCCCCCACTCCTCGCTCATAGCAGTAGAGGAAGAAAAAAAAGAGGGACAGCCGAGGACCGTGCACTCGCCGGCCTCGAGCGAAATCCCCACAACTTAAAAGAGGGAAAACTGAGGACCGTGCACTCGTCGGCCTCGATGAAATCCCCACAAATAAAAGAGGGACAGCCGCGGACCGTGCACTCGCCGGCCTCGAGCGAAATCCCCACAAATCAAAAGAGGGAAGCTGAGGACCGAGCACTAGCCGGCCTCGAGCAATAAAAATGAAATCCCCACAAATCAAGCCACATATTTGGCTAAGTACATATCAGGCAAATACTATGCATTATGGACGAAGCAAGATCATATATGCGGATCAGACGATCGCTCAACGTCGTCCTTCATTATAGGTACGGCTTCGCCGTCCTCATCATAGGACCGGCTCCGCCCCCTTCATCTTCAGACGACTGGCTTCATCAGCGCCGTTGTCCTCAGATCATGGCTGATCCCCCGGTCTCAACGTGATCCTTCGTCTCAAGACCGGCCTCCTCAGCGTCGAGCGTCTTGAGCTAGCGAGCGAGCTCGCCATTCCCTTCCTGGATGGCAACCCTCGCCTTCATACGAGGAGCGGCTTCACCAGCGCCATCGTCCTCAGATCATGACAGACCCCCCGGTCTTAACGTGATCCTTCATCTCAAGACCGGCCTCCTCAGCGTCGAGCGTCTTGAGCTAGCGAGCGGGCTTGCCATTCCCTTCCTGGATGGCGACCCTCGCCTTCATATGAGGAGCGGCCTCATCAGCGCCGTTGTCCTCAGATCACGGCAGACCCCCCGGTCTCAACGTGATCCTTCGTCTCAAGACCGGCCTCCTCAGCGCT